ACCATTTGGGGAGTGAACCAACAGATGGAAGACCATTCTCTCTGTCTCTCCGTCTCTCTGTCTGAAACTCTACCTCTCAAATAAATAAAAACATAAAATTTAAAAAAATTGAAGTCCTTGATCGCTTCAGCTTCTCCAGCGTACAAGCTGGACCCATTTTCCAAAGAGAAATCGCTCACAGGGGAATGAACAAGTGGTCCAGGGTCAGAGGGTTTCTGGAGATGGAGCTGGGGCCACACTGGGCTCTCTGGAGACTCCGCTCAGGGATCTCTGCACTCTGCCAAATCCAGCATTTCTTAATGGATGATGTGGGGTGTGTGAGCGAGAGCACAGTGCCCAGAGAGGTAGAGCTGGAGGAGATACTAGAGTACTATAAGACAAGATTCAGACATATTTTAGTGGATTTTTTCCATCTTCCAAAACAAACTTTTTGAAAGAGTATCTTTGCACTTATGCCTATTTAGATTATATTCTATCTTCTGGCAGAAGCCAAAATCATCCCTCTATCATAGACCCAACGGGCTGAGAAGCCTGTCCTGATAGGTGGGGAGATGCAGGACCGACTCATGATTTCCCCATTTGGGCCGGCACAGGAGGAGACGGCAGATGGGAGGGGGAGAAAAGGGAGGGGAGGGGGAAAGAGAGAGAGAGAAGTAAGGAAGGAAGAGGGGATGGAGGAGGGAGAGAGGTAGGGCAGGAAAGAGGGAGGGGACGGAGGAGGAAGAGAAGGAGGGGCAAGGGGTAGGAGATGAGGGAAAATGAAGGTGAAAAGGGAGGGGAGAGACAAGGAGGGGCCGGGGGTGGGCAGAGAAACAGAGACCGGAAGGGACAGAGAGCCACAGCCAGGGAGCTAGGCAGAGACCGAGAAAGGGAGAAAGAGAGAGAATAGGCAGAAAGAGACAATCAGTGAGACGGGGACCGGCGAGCCCTGGGCCGCGTGTGAGGCAGCCAGGAGACAGGGAGACAGTGCTGGGGCTACAGGAAGGGAGGAGACCTGTGGGGCCCTGCTGGGTGGGGGAGAGTCCCAGAGGTTAAGGCCCCCTCCCATAAACCAACGCTTGCCTCACTGACACCTGTTCAGACTCGGGAACCGGGGGAGGCCCTGCTGTGCAGACACCCAGACTAGATCAGTGGCTCTCAAGCGGGGCTGATTTTGCCCCTCAGGGGACATTTGGCAATGTCGGATGCCTTCTCAGCTGTCACAACGTGGTGGGGGCAGGGTGCTCCTGGCGTCCAGTGGGGAGAGGCTAAGGATGCTGGGCGCCCTGCACCGCACAGGACAGAGTGCTGTGCTCCACAGGTCAGCCAGGCTGAGGTGGGATCGCCCCTGGGCTGGTGGGAGAGAAGCCCCGCAGCCCTGATGAGTGTGTAAGGGGAGGACGCGTGCAGGGGTCCGGACTCGGCTGAAGCCTCTGCCCCCTGCCTCACTGGCTCCTCCTCCAGGCCACCCCCCCCCATGTTTCTGCTCCTCCCTCACCCATCAGATATAGGGGCATTCTGCTACAGAATCAGCCCACACAGGGGCCTGGCCTGCAGCGCGGACATCCCATATGGGTGCTGGTTCAAGTCTTGGCTGCTCCACTACTACTACTTCTTCTTCTTCTTCTTCTTCTTTTAAGATTTATTTATTTACTTGAAAGTCAGAGTTACACACAGAGAGAAGGAGAGGCAGAGAAAGAGAGTGAGAGAGATAGCGAGAGAGATAGCGAGCGAGAGAGGTCTTCCATCCACTGGTTCACTCCCCAGATGGCCGCAATGGCCAGAGCTGCACCGATCTGAAGCCAGGAGCCAGGAGCTTCTTCTGCAACTGGGAAAGCAGTAGAAGATGACCCAAGTGCTTGAGCCCTTGCATTCACGTGGGAGACCTGGAAGAAGCTCCTGACTGCTGGCTTCAGATCAACTCGGCTCCGGCCATTGTGGCCATTTGGGGAGTGAACCAGCAGATGGAAGACCTCTCTCTCTACCTCTCTCTGTAACTCTTTCAAAATAAACAAATATAAATCTTTAAAAAAAAAAATCTAACTGCTAGGCCTGGCTCTGCAGTCCACCTCCGCTGCACACTCTGTGATCTTGCGCCACATTCAGAATTCGCTCACTGGCTCGGTTCCCCCATCCCTACCATGAGAATCAATTAAAATGTATGTAAAATGTGGAGCACAGAGCTTGACACACAGCACAGGCTCACTAAAAGCTAACTGCTGGCATCATCATCCCGTTTGACCTGTCCATCAACACTGGGATGAGGGCTTTGGCCCACACAGCTGCTCTCAGAGCCCAGTGCTTCCTCTTATCACACTTCAGTACCTCCCGCTGCACCTGGCACACTGCGGCATCGGTCCTAGCTTCCATTCTCTTGGCCCAGAGTGCAAGGTCAGAGCCAGGTCTGATGGACAACCTGGGCCTTCACCTGCCACCTGTGTGATGCTCACACATCAGCACTCGGTGGGTTCTCGGGGTCCAGCAGAGTGGACGGAGTGGCCCTTCAGGGGTTTGTTGTGGGTAGTGGTGCAAGGGAGCCTGCCAAGAGGAGATGTTGGGAGAGGAAAACTAGGAGTTCTAATAAGGAGTCCTGGGCAGAAGGGAGAGGGGGCAGAGCAAGTGGGGGCCATGCATTCACCAGCATTTATCCAGTACCGACTGTATGCTACGCATGACGAGGTAGAAGCAACAGAAGCCCGGGCCCAGAGGACCAAGGAGGCTGAGTGCTGAGATGAGCAGCACACCCCAGGCCTGGGGGGAGGGGAAAGGGGGGAGGGGAGCTGGGGACAGGTGAGTGGCAGGAGAGGGAGAGAACAGAGCGCCATCTGGAGAGAGACCCTAAGACCAGAGAGGAAAGGGGTGGAGAGGCCCGGGGAGGCAGGCGAGGCAGGGAGGGGTCAGCGAGGGGGGTGAGCCAAGAGAAGGACTTGGGGGAGGGAACAGGCTGCTGATGGAGGAGGGTAACTCTCAAAATAAATACAGGAACTCTGGAGTTGAGCTGGAGGGGGTGAAGAGGTGATGCCATCTCCAGGGAGACAGAGAGGACCAGGCCCTGGGGTGGACAGGGACGTTAGGGAAGGAGGTGCACCGAGGAGCAGGGCGACAGCCAGGCAGAGTCTGGGTCCCTGGGGACGCACAGGAGCGCACAGGTCCTGCAGGTGCAGGTCCCCTGTTTGCCATGGACTTGGTGACCTTCAGCAGCTTTGCAGATAGGGATGAGCCTGGCCGGGGGCTGCACTGGCAAGGACAGCGGGACGGAGCTGTCCTGTCCTCTCTTGGCCTTCACCTACCCACGTGGCAGCCACTGGGGCCGTCCTAACGCGACCCCTCACCCAACACAAATGGGGTGGGAGTCTTGGTGCTAGTCCACCAGCAGCAGCCTCATGCGAGAATTTCGTGGTTGGGCAGGGAGCGGGGACTGTAGGGAGAGCCAAGCCAGCAGGGAAGAAACTGGGCCAGGCAGAAAAGCCAGGAGAGAACCAAGAGGGCCAAGCGTGGCCTGCACGGTTCTCCCGGGCGCTGGGAGGATTTCACCCGGCTGCACGGCCAGGCGGTGGCCCTAAGTTCCCGCAGGGCCACCTGACTTTGTGGAGACGTCTAGGCTGACCCTGCAAAGGAGGAAAAGTACACGTGGTTCTCTCCCCGGAAACCCAACCTCCACCTGCCTGGGGACTCGGCCCTGGGCTCTGTCTGACTCCCTAAGCAGCCGTAAAGGGGCCTTGCTGGGCCGTCAGCCAGAGCGGCTGCGGAAGGCGCCTGCCCCTTCGCTCCCAAGCCAGGCTACCATAGCAGTGGGGGCACGTGGGAGACCTCAGACGCAGCCATCAGGTGGGGGAATACGGTTGGGTCTCCAGCCCGGGCCTCCCAGGGAGCTGCTGGCCGGGAGGGACGCTGTCCCCCTCCTGGGGGCGCTCCCTCCGCGCGGATCTGGGGCTGGGAGGGGGAGGGGCACTGCCCCCTCCCCCGAGGGGGGGCTTCCTGGGACCCGGCCGCCCGCGCGATGCAGAGGCCGGCCTCCCCCGGCGGCGAGGGAGGGGCGCGGTCCGGGTGTGGGGGCCCGGGCTCCCCGGCTGCGGGGTCCGGCCCCGCGGCCGCCTGCGGCTCGGCGCTGCATTCTCCGAGTCTCCACCAGAGGCTGCGGGAGGAAGGAAGGGATCCGTCCCTTGCACACTTCCCCCCTAGTCAGACACGCACACTCCCTCGCTCCCTCGCTCTCTCGCCCATACACACACGCGCGCACACGCCGCCGCGGCTCCCCCTCTCGCTCTCGCTCCCCCTCAGGCTCCTCCGGGCGGCCGCCGGGCTCCGGACTCGCCCGCCCGCGCCGGGGCTCCCGCCCCACGCAGCGTCCCGAGGCGGCAAGACTGGGGGGAGCCCCGGGCCGCTCCCCGAGGTAAGAGCGCGGGGTGCCGCGGGAGGGGCGGCCGGATCGCCGCCCAGGGGAGGCTGCCGGCCGGGAGGGAGCCCCTTGGCCGGCGGGAGCGGCCCGGCGGGCGGCGCGCGGGGCGAGCCTCCCGCCGCAGGGGGAGCCCAGATGCCCGCGCCGGCCCCTGCGCGCCCCCTCCTCTCGGCGGGTTGGGCGGGAGGGAGTTTCCCACGTCCAAACTTTCCCCGCACGGAGCGGAGCCGGCTGTCGGCCCGCAGCCCCCCACCCCCTCCCCACCCCGTCCGCCGCCCACCCCGCAGCCTCCGGGACCCCCGCGGGCCAGGGGTGGCGGCGCCAGAGGCCGAGACCGCGCGCCAAATGGGGCTGGGGAGGTGGCGCGCAGCCCGAACGCGGAGGCTGGGACCCAAGCGTTCGGATCCCCCCACCCCCCACCCCCCGGCGCCCGGGTCTCAGCTCCCGGGCCCCTCCCAGAGGCGGGGTCCAGGGCCGGGAAGTACCGCACGGCGGAGCGTGTGCGCGCGGGTGTGTGTGTGCGTGAGGTCCTGCGGCGTCCGGGGGCACCCAGAGGCAGACTTCAGCCGCGGCGACACGCACGGCTGCGGCCACCTCGGGGGAGGGGAGCCAGCCCACAGGGACCCTACCCGCGCGACCCCGCAGCCCTCCAGCCGTCGGACGGGCCAGAGGCAAGCGAGGGGCAGCGCTGCCCTCTTCCTTAGGACCCGACTTCGGGGACATTGGCCCCGCCACGCGAGAAGGACGGGGCCCCGACAGCCTCACGTCTAGAGGGAGCGCGACTTGGGCCTGATCCCCGGGGGAGGCGCAGGCTGGGTGGGCGTGCGGGGCACCGTCTCGCCGGCCTCGAGACCTGAGCGCCCGCTCCGACTTCCCTGGCACTGCCTGCCCACTGCCCCGCCAGGCGGGGATGCCGCGCGAGGAGCTCAGCCGGAGTCCCTCGGGGTCTCCCCGAGCTGCAGGGGCACCCCCTGGTGGCGGGCAGAGGAGCCGCCGCCGAAGCCGGCCGAGGGCTTCCAGCGCTTAGGCTCGGGGAACCCTCTCGCGGCGGCGTCAGGGGCTGCCCACGGCTCCGTTTCCTCTTTCCTCGTGGGTCTGATCGGAGCTCCCGGAGTCGCTGGGCTTGGCCGAGGCGCCCCCAGCAGGGGCAGCAGCTCCTCTGCGGGCGTTGGCTGCGGCCAGCCCCCTGTGCGTCCCTCCAGCCCCTGGGGGTTCTAGAGTCCAGCCTTTTTTTCCACTGCCTCCATCAGCATCTCGTGGCCGGTGCGCAGCAGGCTCCTTCCCCACCCTCCTGCTGTGTCCCTCATTTGTGCCCCCATGCCTGTCCACCGGCGCCCACCCTGGCCCCGCAGTTCCCCTGTTCTGCAGTCCTCTCTGGAGTTTGGCCTCTATGCTATAAGACATCCTCGGGCCTTCACCACGGCCATGTGCTCCCCTCCCGTCTTCTGACTGCTTGCCTCAGTTTCTCTTGGCGATGGACACTTGTCCCCTCTCCCCCCCAGCCTACCTCCTTCTCCATCCCTCGTCCTCTCCTTTCCACGTGGTCTGGAATGTTCCTCTCCCACTCTTTGAAGGGAAGACCTCTGTCGACATTTCAACACTGCTTCCTGGGGTGCAGGCCCCTCGGGCACCCCGGCTGTGGGTGCCTCCGGAGCAGGTGCCCTGAAGAGGCAGCCAGGTCCCTCTTGGCCAAGGAGCACCTGCCCTCCCCGAGTGGCCATCACTGGCTCCTGGAGACAAGGACCCCTCCCTTGTTCCTGGCCTTGAGCACCTTGGAGACCAGCTGGGCTGTCCTTCCCGGGTTCAAGTGTGGCACTCAGAGGTCCAGTGGCGAATACTATCTGGGCCAGGCTGGGACCCCAGCTGTGTGGACTTCCAGGCCTCAGCAACTCCTCTTAGGCGCTGTGTACTTCTTAGGGGAAAGGAGACCCTCTGTGTCTTCACACTGTGGGCAGAGGGAGGGAGACACCTTCAGTTAGACCCCCAGTGCCCCCAGGCCAGTTCCACCAGGGGTCTTTGGAAGAAGCAGTGACAGCCACTGAAGCTTAGAGGAAGCTAAAGATGAGCTGTGTCCCTGGACAAGTCACGGGCGCTCTGTGAAGTGTGTGTACCAGGCTGGCCGTGGGGTCAGGGTGTCGCTGCTGGTGTTTGGCGTCGCTGTGCCTGGAGGCTGGACTTCCACTCCCCGGGCACTGTGCTGGGTTCTGGTTTCGGCCAAGCCTTTTGCGGGATCAGAACCTTTGGTGCCAGAGCAAGCTGGGCCGAAGCCAGGGGCAGGACCACGGGAGGGCCTGTCTGTTCCCGTTAGCAAAGTTTGGAGCGGCCAGGTTCATTTACCACATGGGCGATAAGAGAGAGCCAATTAAACGTCTTCTCTTTCTCTCTCTGCCCTCCCCCCCCCCCCCCATCAGGAAGCTCCATTCGGAAATGCAGCCTCAGGTATTCTGAGGGAGAGAGAGAGACAGATTCCTGTTTATATAACTCGGCAGCCGCTGTGTGGCCTGTTGCGGGGGGAGGGAGCCAAGGATGGAGTCAGGTGGTTCTGGGGGAGGGGGGCACCCTACACCCTAAGGGTTGAAGCTTCAGAGCCCAGCTGGGGGATGGGGACACGGTGGGGAACCCACCCCAGGCCTCCCCACCCCAGGCCTCGGGCTAGGCTCAGGGAGAGGAAGTCACGTGGCCCACAGGGCTGGGCACACCCTGTCCCCCAGGCTCCTCTGGGCACCGTGGGAAGAGCTCTGGACTGCAGGGCCTCTGCTCCCAGAACCTTGTTCTGAGTCTCGATTCTGACCTCTAGAGAGCCTGTATGTTTTTTTTTGCTTGTTTTTTCAACATCAGGACAGGTTCTGACCTCAACTTTTCCATCAGGGCAATGGGAGAATCAGACTTTGTCTTTTCTCTCCTGTAGGAGGCAAGGACTTACGAAGCAAGTTAAGGCTGTGGAATGTTTTGTTCCGGGGGGGGGGGGGCGTTCTTCCCTTTGGAGATGATGCTGAGTGGCTGCCGAGAAACAGGAACGCAGGACAGAGAGGCTGAAGGCACGGCCGTCACGTACAGTTGGGTAGACTGTTGACTGTTCAAGAACACTCAGTGCTTGAGGGGAGTAAGGGCTGAAACCGTTTTAAGCTTCACTCAAGTCAGATGCATCCGTCCCTAGACAGTGGCACCTTCTTCAGTTTGCACAAAGCCTTCGTACGTGGACCCGCGGTGGGGTTGCTTGTTCCCAGAGGAGGATGCTTTCTTTGATCGCCACTAGGGCGGCCCAACCCCTGAGCCCAGTTCTCTAAGGGAGGATGCAGCTTTCCGGATATGTGGGTCTGTGTCGGAACGCATGGGGTGCAGGAGCCTGGAGGAGCTCCTCTCCCCCTGGATTGCCCTCAGGCCCATTAGCGGGGTCTTCCTGCTGTCGTGTTGGGATCGCGCTGGGGGCCGTGAGCTCCAGCCGTGCGCCTGCTCCCAGCTGCTACCTCTGTGCTGAGAGCCATTGTAGTGGGGCCCGCCTGGGCCTGGCCTGGGCCTTGCCAGCTGTGTGACTTGGGGAAAGTTTTTGCACCCCTCTGAGCCTCAGTTTACTCCTCTGTGAAATGGAGAAGAAGGTCGTGACTACCGGATCCAATTGTGGACATGAAATCCACACGCATGTGCGTGGTGCTCCGTGCAGTACCTGGCACACGCTCTACAAAGGAAGCAGCATCCGTGTGGTCAGTCCCCCTGATTCCATGCCTTGCTTCCCACAAGTCAGCAGCCTCTCCCTCTCCCTCTCTCTCTCTCTCTCTCTCTCTCTCTCTCTAGTTTTGCACTTGACCTTGGCTGCCTGGGGAACTGAGCCAGGACCACCAGGATCTGTCGCTGGCCTCGGTTCACCTTGTGGGATTGCCTTTGCCTTGAGGAGTATAGGACGTCCCAGCCCCTGCCCGTAGCCGGGGCCTAGGACCAGGTTCTAGGTCTCCGCAGGTCCATTTCCTCCTGGCCCCTTGCTTTTGTCCCCTCCCACCTATCCCGGGATCCTGACTTTGGCTCAGCCCTAGCTGGCTGTGCCTGAGCTGTTAGGACAGACTCCTCTCCGACCTCCCAGCCTGTGACCCCACCCTCCGCACTTCCTGCTGCAGCCGGAGTGATCTTTCTGTAACGCAGGTGGGATCATGTCACTTGCTTGATTAAAACCCTTCCACGGCTCCCCATCGCCCACTGAATTAAGTCCAGACTCCGTACCATGACATTCAAGGTCCTTGTAATCCGTCTGCATCGTGTATCTCCCGCTGTGTCTCTGGTCCGAGCCTCCGGCATGCAGCCACACCTGCCCTTCCAACCCGAACGCCCTTCCCCAAAGACCCTCCAAAGTATTCAAGAGTCAGCCCAAACAGTGCCTGTTCCCGGCACCTGCCCGCCTGCCTCCCTGTCTGTCTGGGGCTGGCCTTTCATTGTGCAGTGGCGAACGTATTTACATATATATAAATATATAGTGTCCACAGTGTACTGAGCCTTGCGCTACGTGGTGGACATGCAACGGGGAGCAAGCGGACCAAAGCCCAGCTGACAGGAGCCTGGCAGTCCGGGGAAAGAGACAGACATGAGCAGAGCCAGCGGGAGGGTGCAGCGGAGGCGTGCAGGTGCAGGTGTAAGTGCCGGTGAAGCCGAGATCTGTGAGTTGAGTAGCAGTTGTCTGAGGGCTGAAGCGGAAGGGGGCGGTGGGAGCCGGCTGCAGGCCCCGGGGAGGCGAGGAATGCCAAGTTCAGCTGGCTGGAGTGCCGAGTGTGCAGGTGGGGTTCCGGAGTGGGAATCACGGGCATCCAGGCCTGCAGAATTTAGTCTGGTGGGTCTTGAGAGCCACAGGAATGAACTTGGACTTCATCCTCAGAGCAGCGGGAAGCCGCTGAAGGCCTTTCATTGGAATGGAGTGCGAGGGAAGACCTGGCCAAAGGCAGATATGGCGGCCAGGCCTGGCTAGTGGGGAAGGATGTGTGGGGCTGTAGGAGTGCAGCACACAGGGCTGG